GCGAGACGCTAGAGAAGTTCACCGACGTGGGCCGGTTTGTCACCCTCACCACCCAGAGCCTGCATCGCCTGCCACCCCACGTCCAGCAGAAGTTTGTCCGCCTCAAAGGCCGGGACAAGCTGCCTGAACTGCTGCAGCTACTCAAGGAGCGATCAGCATCCAGCGGGGCCGTTCTCATCTTCTGCAACAGTGCCAGCACTGTCAACTGGCTGGGCTATATCCTGGATGACCACAAAATCAAACACCTGAGGTTGCAGGGACAGATGTCAGCAGCTGCTAGAGCTGACATCTTTGCCTCCTTCCAGAAGGGTGACGTGTCTATCCTTGTCTGCACTGACCTTGCCTCGCGGGGGCTGGACACCAGCAGTGTGCAGCTAGTGGTCAACTATGACTTCCCAGACACTCTACAGTACTACCTGCATCGCGTGGGGCGAGTTGGACGGGTTGGAAGCAAAGCACCAGGAGCTGTGGTTAGTTTTGTCACCCATCGGTGGGATGTGGACCTGGTGCGGAAAATAGAGACTGCAGCCCGGAAAAGGACAGGTCTCCCAGGCATGGACTCCTCTGTTAATAAGCCTCCGCCTAAAGGAGGCTGATTCAGGTTGCCAAGCAGTAATAAATGGCCTGTTAGTGTCTAAGCTTGAAGTCATTTAGGCAGAGCGAATGAGCTTCTGTGTGTAAGCTGGACTGAAAGAAGAGTTTCAGAACCAGCTGATAGGGATAGCTTTGTGCACTGTTCTGGAAGCTGCAATAGTTGTTTCCACAGGCATCGCAACTCGTGGCTTTCCAAAAGGAAGCTAAGGAGTAACAAAATGCCTTTGGAGAAGACTGAAGAATGATCTCATCAGTTGATTTTGTTTAATTTTGTTGAGACTTAAATTCAAATTGGAATGGAAGTATGGCTGTGTGATGTGCAGCTCTGTTGCATTTCATTGCTTCCTGCCACCAGCAGCTAAACATTCATTATTAAAACTTAAAAATTAAGACTGTGGCAGGAAAAAAAAGAAAATATTTTCCTAACTTTGGTATAACCTTGACCAATTATAGATACATGTCAGAACACTAAAGGACAAATTATATTTAATTTTCTTGTGATGTAGCAGTTCATTCAGAGAATTCCAGACCAGATACCTGTAAATTTTGGTGGGAACAAGAAGCCACAATAAAGCTTGAGGTTTTTTCAAGGTCTTAATTTGTCATACCCAAACTATTCTATGATTTTATGGTTACCTTTCACCGAGAAAGGGGATCTTGCTGCTTCATGGTCTATTAAATAAATAAATAAAAGCTTTTAAGTGGTTTCTGCTCATTTTTTCTGCATGCTGTAGTGACATTATGTCCTGGGTTACAGTGTAAAATGT